TTCTTTTTTTTTTTTTAATGTTTTATTTATTTCTAGGAGAGAGAGAGAGACCGCGTGAGCAGGGGAGGGTCAGAGAGAGAGGGAGTCACAGACTGAAACAGGATCCAGGCTCTGAGCTGGCAGTCAGCACAGAGCCCGACGCAGGGCTCGAACCCACAACCGCGAGATCATGACCTAAGCGAAAGTCGGACGCTTAACCGACTAAGCCACCCAGGCGCCCCAATCATGAACTTTCTTGGTAACATACATTGCAAACATCTTTACAGCTTTCTCGTTCACTCATTTACTAGTTGAAACAATTGATTTAATGAGTATAATTTTACTAACTTGCAGAGCTGTGGTTTTGTGTATATGTGTGTGTATTTAAAGAAATGAAATGTACTATTAAAGTGCTTCCAAATAAGATATCATTCCTTGAAAGTTTTACTTAGTTGTCCTGTGTGTGGGTATTGACTAAAAGGATTCATATGACTCGGGAGCAGGTTATATTCACTGTTAGGGCTTATTCCAGGGAAGCAATGCAGAGTGAAAACAGAAAGCAGATGGAAACTCAGACAGAGTCAGGAGAGCTCTGCACAGGCTTCTGAGACCTTGGCCATCTGGGGTTGCACAGGATGGACTTTCCCTCAAGCAGTGCACTACAGGGACAAGTATGAATTAGATGGTCAGCGAAGCGTGCTTGAGTCTCAGAGTCTGGGGTTACGTGGAGGGCTAGACATGTAGGTGCATCCACTGTGACTGGCCATGGTCACCAAATCTCAGAAACCCAACTGTGAGTGAGGTGCCCATCACCAGCCTTGGTGTTTGTGCAGGACAGTGCTGACGGGCTGATGTGGCATTGCTCCCACAGACACACAGAGCCATCAGTGATTGATACAAAGAACCTTTTGAAGGGCAAGTTGCTAGAGTTTGGCCAGAATCGACAGTGGCTCCAGGCTCTCCGGGAGAGATGCTCTGAGTGAGCTGTGTTGACTCTTTCTTCACGGGAAGGTACATAAACTCTACCAGTGAGAAAATCAACCCCATAATACAATAGAATATTTTTCAAATTGGAAGCCCACAAACGCATCCAAAAGAACTTTACAAAAGAGAAGGCTTGGGGCGCCTGGGTGGCTTAGTCGGTTAAGCGTCTGACTTTCGCTTAGGTCATGATCTCGCGGTTCGTGGGTTCGAGCCCCGCATCAGGCTCTGTGCGGACTGCCAGCTCAGAGCCTGGAGCCTGCTTCAGATTCTGTGTCTCCCTCTCTCTCTGACCCTCCCCTGCTCACGCTGTCTCTCTCTCTCCTAGAAATAAATAAAAAAACATTAAAAAATTTTAAAAAAAAAAAAAAGAGAAGGCTTACGGAGTAGAGGGTTTACCTGTTCCTTAATAAAGCAGTTACTTATTAAACGTGTCTACGTTTGGACCCTTCCTCTCCATCTTTCCTAGGCTTTAGATTATATCTATAATCTAAATATAGATTTAGCAATCTGGGTTTAACACAGATAATGTTTAGATGTTTAGTGATAATATTTAGATTTATCACTCCTTGTCAATTTTTATTTTCCAAGTTCTTTGTTTATTTTGTGACATTTAGGTTTATTGATGTACAACTGTATGTAATATCCTCTCTTTTTGTGGCCTTCACAATCTGTGCTTTTTCCTTTCTTGGATTCCTATTGTGCTAATTGCATTTTCTTTCTTTTTCTCCATTTGGAGACTCTTCCTAGAAGTACATCTATTTCAACAGGTTTTCCAAATCCAATCTCTTTTCCAAACTAAATATTAGTTTTTTCACTTATTATTTATTAATTACTGCATTTATATTTAATAATTCTCCCTTTCTGCTCCCCACCCCGCCCATGAACAGAATGGCCAGGATAGCTTCAGTTTTCCTATTTAATACTCTAAGTGTTGAAAGCTATGACTTTTTTAAATGAATGAAGCTGTGTTATTACGCATTCACTGAAAGACTTCATTGACAGATCTTTCCGGCTCCCAGCTTCTCTGCTCTCCACCCACAAGGGTAGTTTGTTCGATCTAAACATTGACTTAAGTTGGGACCATCAGATTCTCTGTATAGGAATTTGAAACCGGAGTGCAAAAACACGACAGATTTCTTTTCCTTTATGAGTGAAAATATTCTATCTTCAATCGTCAGCACATATTAATGTCGGCTGAGCGCTGGGTCTAGGTCCCGCAGTGTCTTTAATTTCAGGCTTCTTGTGGGGAGAGGAAAACAAAGGACAGAGTCTACCGGGGAGCGGCTCGTAAGAAGGGTCAAGAGAGGCTCATGAGAGGAACACAACACGGGTTTTTTCTTCTCCTGTTTCACATGAGCTGGTTACACACATGAAAACGCTTCTCCAAGCTAAGTGGCCAAAAGTCAGATTGCTCACAGAGAGTAAGAATGAGCCTCTTCTCGGAGAACCGAATTGCCCCTTGTCTATTAACCCATCCTTCAACCACAGGTCTAAGAGTTCATGTTTGTCGGAAAGTTTTATTCCCTTCAGGATTAAACATGCATCTGCGCTAAACCCAGATTGCTTAAATCATCAAGCTTTTCTGCTCTCTGTTCCTCTAACGTTTTCCGTCTTTCTCTCGGTTCTGAATTTTTGAGTTTTCCCCATAGGATTTTGGCTTTCAGTCGGCCTGACCATCCCTGTCCAAGATGCCAGCCGAGCGGGGAAAACGAAACCACACAGGTAAGCGGTCGCGTAAAAGCTGCTGTACAAGGTGAGCAGTACTGTCAATGCCGACTTGCGGCCACGCAGCTGCTGCCTCCACCCAAGTGGACCTGAATGCGGGGCTTCGGTGTGGCTCACGTGCACATCTGGGGACCCCCTAGTTGGAGAGTCCGCAAAAGGAGAGGAATCATTCCAAGAAGCGGGCAATGCGCTCCCCTTTCTGGCAGTCAAAGCAGCTCCTGGGGCTGGGGACGGAGTGGGGGCCAAACAGCGGGTCGGGGTGGGGGTGGGGGCGCAGGCTGAGCAAGCGGCCAGCGGGTCTGCGAGTCGTGCCCAGGCAAGGATGGCACTGAGAGCCAGTGAGGGTGGGGGGCAGCGAAGAGACCGATCTCTCTCTCCCTGATACACACCCTCCCCCACCCGGGGCGTAAACAACAGTGGAGGCCTCCGCGGGGCACGGCCTGGGGCGCCGGCGCCCCCTCCCCACCCGCGGCGCCGGCCCGAGCGCCCTCGGGGTGGAAGCCGGGAACCCAGCGCGCCGCCCGCGGCCGTCCCCTCCCTTCCGCCGCTGCCGTTCGGGCGCGACCGCGAGCCGCCGGAGGAGGAAGCCGAGGCCACGGCCGCCCCCCCCCCCGCCCCCCGGCGGCCCCGCCCGGCCCCGCCCGGCCCCGCCCGCCGGTCACTTAGCTTTCGATTCCCGAGCGGCGGGGGGCGACCCGGGCGCGGCGGGGGCGGGACCCGACGCGCCATGGCCTCGGCCGCCGGCCCGCGCGCCCAGAGGCTGCTCGGGCGTCTCCCGGGGCCGCCGCGGTCGCCGCGCGGGGCCCGCGCTCTGGCCATGGCGCCGCCGCGCCGCTTCGCGCTGGAGCTGCCCGGCTGCTCGCTGGCTCACCTGGCCGTGGGCGGCGACGGCCCGGGCGCGCGCCTCGACCCCCGCGCGGCCGCGCTGCTGGGCCCGCCCGGCCGCAGCTACTGGCTGTGCGTGCCCGAGGCCCCCGGCGGGGACTGCGCGGCCCGCGTGCGGGCGGCGCGGCTGCACCAGCGCCTGCTGCGGCAGCTGCGCCGCGAGCCCCTGCGGCGCTGCCGGCTGCGCCCGCTGCTGGGCTACGGCGGCGGCGGCGGCCTGCAGCGCGGCTTCCTGCTCCGCGACCCCGGCCGCAGCCCCGACACGCGGCGCGCGCTCTTCGCGCTGCTCGGCGAGGCCCCCGAGGGCGCGCGTCTGGGCGAGTTCGCGGGCGACGCGCGCGGGCAGCTGTGGCAGAGCGTGTGGGAGCGGCGGGACGGGGCCGAGTGGCGGCGCGCGGGCCCCCGCGAGCGCGTCCTGGCCGCCCCCGAGCCCGCCCTGCACCCGGTGGTGCCCGACCTGCCCCGCTCCGCGGTCTTCCCGCGCCGGGAGGCCGCCCGCGCCGTCCTGGAGGCGGTAAGATCCCGCCCCTCCCGCACGCGGGCGGACCCCAGACTAGCGGGAGGGGGACCTCGGGTGGGGATGGGGCTTGGGGGTGCTGGCCTCCCCGGCCCAGGCTCCGCTGCCCCGGGGGGTCGATGGTCGTCCGTGGGCAGATCAGGCCCTGAACCCGAGTGCCGGACTCCGGTGTAGACGCTGCGGCTCTTTGCTGGATTCTCAGCCTCCTGGAACTTCCCCTCCGGGGCGGGAACCGCTGCCCCAATGCCAGGCTGGGGTCTCTGCCCCGAAAGGCGCTGAAGGCGCCGCGGGAAGGAAGAGCCCGCTGGGTGCGGGGAGGGTCCTGCCCTCCGGGAAGCAGTCACACTGTTCGGGGAGGCCAGGACGTGAGTTTGGGGCGAAAAGGGCCCGAGTTTGGGGTTCTGTGGCTGCCTGCTTCCCGGCCGCCCGTGCGAGTTGCAGACCCCTGTGTTTTTCCTCTCTCGTCTGTCAAACACTCGCCTTGCAGTGTTTAGGACGAGGAAACCTCTGGCACCGAGCAGGTGCTGGGGAAGGAGAGCGGAGACCCCTTCCCCGGGCAGCCTGGCCGGGGCCTGGGGTGTCCAGCGTCGGCTTGCTGAGGCTGCACTAGGGAATTTATCGAGTGCATTTAGCAAGCTTTTGGGAGAGTATGAGGGAGTGGTGGAGAGGGCAGGACCAGTCGCTGGGTTTTAAACCCAAATCTGGAATTTGTTACCTGTGTCACTTTCACTTTCTGAAACCCTCCTTGCCTCAGTTTCCTTAGTCACACTTGGGAATAATAATGTTGTCACCCTCGCAGGTGAAGGCTGGCCATGTTAATCCTGGAAAGCAGCTAGAAGATTAAGCACATGGGTGAACAAGTGTGTGGGGCTCCCCGCAGAGAGGGAGAGCGAGGGGAGAACTTGGAAAGCCCACGGCCACCAGTGCTGCTCCCTGGTGACCAAAGTGCAAGGCCAAGGCCCGGCGGGGGGGACAGGAAGGGCCCGCTGACTGCTGCGCCAGGCCCGGCCTGTGCTGCCCAGCTGTGGTCTTCCCCTGGGGTAGCTGGTCCTCGAGGCTGAGGGAGCTCGGCCGCTGATGCCTGTTTGAGCCACAGCTGTTCAGTATAAAATGAAGGAATTCAGCCCTTCTCAGGTTCAACATCGCTTTTCTTTTTTAATGTTTATTTATTTTTGAGAGAGAGAGAGACAGACAGAGCAGGATCTGGGGCAGAGAGAGAGGGAGGCACAGGATCCAAAGCAGCTCCAGGTTCCCAGCTGTCAGCACAGAGCCCAACATGGGGCTCGAACTCCCAAACTATGAGATCGTGACCTGCGCTGAAGTCAGACCCTTAACTGACTGAGCCACGCAGGTGCCCCAGCCTCTCTCGGGTTCAAAATAGTATGAATCCAGCATGGCGTCAAACACAGCTTATGCCATGTTAGCGTTGGGCAAGCTTGTTTTTGGCAAGTAGACGTTGCAAAAGGCCCGTTGCCTCACTGCGGATGCACACCGTTGTCTTACAGTGTGTACCCCTCATTCCTGAAGCCCAGGCAGTGCTGGACCTGGTCGACCAGTTACCAGAACAGGTCCAGAAAGGGAAGTTCCCTGTCATTGCCATCGAAGGACTGGATGCCACAGGTAATATTACCTTTTGGTTATAGGCGAGGAGAGAAATTCCTCTCTGTGGGAATAGATAGGTCTTAATAAGTAAAACTTTATACAGACTTCAGCTCGTAAGCTTCACAGCCGTGTTTAGTGTGTGCAAGGCACAGAGCTGGGCGGGCGTGGGATGCAAAGATGAATAAGGCCTTGAGTTGGAAGCCAGGGGAGGGGTGGGGGGGCTGAGGCTCAGGTGCTGTGGTGACCAGCCTTGGCTGTGGTCAGGGGTGGCTCTGGAAGCGCTCTGTTTTCAGTGCAGATCAGAGAAGGTCAGGTGGGGAAGACAGAAGCAGTCCTCTGCGCAGAAGAAGCAGCGTGGGCCACAGAGCAGGGACTTAGCCAGCCTGGGGTACTTGAGGACCGCAGGCCATTCTGAGGACCCTTTGAAGCAAAATTAAGAAGCCCTAGGAAGTAGAGAGAAAAAGCGTTAGAACCAGCACACAGATATCAAAGTACAAGGGACATACCTACTCTTAGTCCGAAACAGAAGTAGAAGTGAAGCTGTCAGGGCCACAGGAGGTCAGCCAAGGACAAGATGGAGCCGCCTCGGGTGGCTAGAGTCACGTGGTTCAGCGGGAGGTGGGGCTCCCGGGTGCTGAGAGTTTTAAGGGACGAGGTGGAGGTTATCAGAGGGCCTGGAGGTCTCTGCCAGAGTTCATTCTTACTTTGTGATACCTTTCAAGGGTTGGGATACTACACCAGGAAACCCAGGTGCCTGAAAGACTGATTCTTTTTTTTTATATATAATCATAGTAGGTGATGAGCTGCATTGATTTACAGGTGGAAAGAGTGTCTTTGTTCTGAGTGTATCTGAGCCTTTGGGAGTGATATGGTGGCCATGGTAACGCGCGCTGTGTTTTTATCTGGCCAGGTAAAACCACGGTGACCCAGTCAGTTTCAGACACACTCGGGGCTGTCCTCTCAAAGTCCCCACCCGCTTGCATCAGCCAGTGGAGGAAAATCTTTGATGACGAGCCAACTATCATTAGGAGAGCTTTTTACTCCTTGGGCAATTACATTGCGGCTTCTGAAATAGCCGAAGAATCTACAAAATCTCCCGTGATTCTAGACAGGTAGGTATAAAGGTCCTACAAGTTCGGCATTTTCTTCCCAACTGTTTGTTAAGTCACACTGTGTGATGATGATAATAGGAATGATGCCTATAACTTATGAATTGCCTACACCACAGGCTGGCATTTTGCCAAGAGCATGCATACAGTATTCAGTGTCTGGAACAATTACATGGTTAGGCGGATACTAAATGTTATCCCCAATTTACGGATGAGGAACCTAGGTCTTAAAAAGGTTAAGTGACTGGCCAAGTGACTGAGCTAGAAATGGCACATGAGGATATTGACAAAATCCTATGCTTTAGCAATCGATGCTTTCAGGGGTTCATTTGTTCATTGGCTTATTTATAAAACATGGGTTGGGCATCTCCTGTGTGTGCCAAAGACTGTTCTCAGTTTAGGGGATTCGGGGGTTGATGAGCTAGACAATGCCCTGCTTGCATGGGGCAACCGTACTGTTGCAGGAGAAGTTAATAATCAAGTGCATAAACGGGGCGCCTGGGTGGCTTAGTCGGTTAAGCATCCGACTTTCGCTTAGGTCATGATCTCGCGGTTCATGGGTTCAAGCCCCGCATTGGGCTCTGTGCTGACTGCCAGCTCGGAGCCTAGAGCCTGTTTCAGAATCTGTGTCTCCCTCTCTCTCTGACCCTCCCCTGCTCACGCTGTCTCTCTCTCTCTCTCTCCTAGAAATAAATTAAAATATTTTTTAAGAAAAGGAAAAAAATAATCAAGTGCATAAAGACAAGATAATATTGGAGAGTGACAGATACTCTAAAGAGGATAAATCAAGGTGGATATGGCTAAGGAGGGCCCATAGAAGGGGGCGCCATTGATCTGAGCTCTGAATGACCCAAAAGAGGTGGAAAGGAAAATTGTAGAGTAACAGCCTTATGGACAGAAGAGTGAGGAAGAGCAAAACCTACAGACAGAAAGAAGTGGACGTATTTGAGTACTAGAAACAGTCCCCTGTGGTGAGCACGTAATGGACGAGGGGTTGCTTTCTGGATGAATGAACAGAGAGAGAGAGGCAGAGGATAGAACAGAAGGGCCCATAGGCCGAGAGAGCGTGGGTTTTATTCTGAGTGCAGATGGGAGCCACTGAGAGGTTTCAGGTAGTGAAGGGACATGAACTGATTTATATTTTTTAAATTCCATATTTAAGAAGTAGCTCAAAATACCACAAAAAAGGATGAATTGTCCGGCAAGCAAGTCATCCTAGGCTTGAAGTCACCAGGACTTGGTGATACGGAAATTAGAGTCATGACCAAGAGATCCCAGTTTACTTTCATCAGGTTGGCGAGAGCCAATTAAAATGCCCAAATACCCAGAGCGGGAGATCATGTGGCTGGCTGGACGCTCTCCAAGGTGCTGGTGGGGGTGGACTGGGCACAGGGGTATTTTGTGGAGACCCAGAACGGCGGAGTCTACTTCACGGCCGGAAGAAACCGAAAGATGTCTTCAGCTGCGTTCAGATATTGAAAAATGTAAAAAACCCAAAGCCTGTCAGTAGCAGAAAGGGTGCATAAATGCCAACATATTTGTAAAACGGGGCAGCACTCAGCAATATAAATCAGTACAGGGCATCAGTGTGCAGAAATTACAAAACCGTAATTTGAATAAAAAAATCAAGTTGCAGACGGACGTTCAGCAAAATATATACAAACTAAGACAAACTGTAGAGTGCGGAGGGATGAAAGATTATTGAACAAATTCAAGAGAGTGTTAAGGAAAGAGACGTGCCGTTGATGAAGAGACAGAAGGTCATGAACTGCAATTGCACTTTTGCTTCACATTGCAGGGATGTTTGTTGCTCTTTCTGCAATTTTACTTATTTTTGGAAAGATAAGCAATTGTATTGAAGTATGACAAGGATTCAGAAAAAAGCATTAATCATAAAGGTAAATCTCAAGGAAGTTCAAGTAGTGAACACACCCAAGTAGAGCCCGGACGCATGTCCAGATTCAGGACCCCACACCCCCCATCAGTCAGCCTCCTCCTCCCACTCACTGTCCATTCTCCCCTCCCCCTCCATGGTGATGGCTGCAGTGACCCCCATCTCCTGTTCTTGAACTGCTCCTATATGTTAGTGCTGCTTGCATCTGACTGCCCTCATGCTGCGTATGATACCCACCTTGCTGCTCTGAACATTTTTTTAATGTTTTTGTTTTATTTTATTATTTTTTTATTTTGAGAGGAGAGAGCATGTATGCATGGGGGAGGGGCCGGGGGGGAGAGAGAATTCCAAGCAGGCTCTGTGTGGTCAGTGCAGAGCCCAATGCAGGGCTCAGTCTCACAAACTCCGAGATCATGAGATGGGCTGAGATTAAGAGCCGATCGCCTAACTGGGTGAGCCACGCCTACGCCCCTTGCTATGAACATTTTTTTGTAACTCTAGTGCATGTAGTACGTGTGTATGCAGTTCTGGCGCAGAGATGCCCGCCAGTGGACTGCAGGGATGTAGGTTCACATGTGTTCGGCTTTAGCAAGTATTTCCATGTTTTCTGAAGTGGTTGGAATGGCTCACAGCCCCTCCCCCCTCCCCCCTCCCCCCCCCCCCCCACAATGTTTGAGAATTCCCTTTGCCTCAGCACTTAGCATCGCCAGCCTTTTACTCGAGGTTTTCCACTTGTTTCTGGTGGGTAAGTTGGTCACTTACAAGCTGGTTTGTCATATCTGGATTATCTGGATACGTCTACCCTTTTCTCCAAATATCTTCCTCTGTACATTTTTCTGTATCCTTGCGACACTCCAGGAAAAGGCGATTCTGAGAGCGTTTAGGGAATAACGCCCGAGGTGGTGGGGTTGCCGGGCAAGATGTAAACAGTAAAACGGAGTCAGAAGCCTGGTGCTTTCATAGAAGAGACAATGCCGGGAGGTAGTATTAGCTTTGGGGATGGCAAGATACTTATTTCAAGAGGTTGAAGCTTGGCAAGAAGGGTGAGCAATTGCATTCTTCTGTGGGACTTATTTGGGGGATGTTTTTGCCCTATTATTTAAAATTTTTTTACAATTTATTTGTTCGAGAGAGAGAGAGAGAGAGAGAGAGCACAAGCAGGAGAGAGGCAGATAGAGAAGGAGACACAGAATTTGAAGCAGGCTCCAGGCTCTGAGCTGCCAGCACAGAGCCCGACGCGGCGCTAACCCACAAACGGTGAGATCATGACCTGGGCCGAAGTCGGATGCTTGACCAACTGAGCCACCCACGCGCCCCTGCCTTATTATTAATAAGTGCCTGAATCTGCCATATTTGAGATCTTTTTTTTTCCCCACACACAGTGTCCTTTTTCAAGGAGAAAGACTAAACTTTCCCTAACACCGTGTGAGTTGGCGAGGCACATTGTTTTCTCAGATGTCCCAAGTCCTGAAGCTGCCCTGGCTTCTGAGTGTAGGCAAATCCCTGTCCCCCTGCTCCCAGCTTCCTAATCTGTTAAATGGAGAGAGTCCTCATGGCTTCCTCACCTACCATTAGGACTCGTGATGAAAAGCCATTGAGTTAATACAGGTGGAAGTGCTTTGAAATCGCAAATTGCTATTAAGATACAAAGCATTATTATAGAAGCTATGTATAAGGTGGCGGCAAATTGCATCTGATTTGAACTGATGTGGTTTCCCTGAAGGCAGGAATGGAAAATACTAACTGGCGGAGAGTCTGAAATTGATGGCCAGAGGGTATGATTATTTAAAATGAGCCACAGCGTTGTCAGTGAGCGAGCTTCAGCTATAGAAAACAGGGCTTCCATTCTTCCCTTGATTTTTCTTCTTTGTGTCTGCGAATCGTTGGCAATTTTGCTCTTTAAAGAGATACTGTATCACCTTGTCAAATGAGAAGAAAAGAGCAGTTATTTGTTGTCTGGGTGGGTTTTGTTCATGTGTAAAGATTTTAATGAAATCCATTTTAGACTAGACCCTCATCTAGCTGAAAAAAATAAGGGAGACAGAATAGTTTTTGATGGTGACTGTGGTTAAGGTTGGCAACTTAATCACCCTCATTACCTTTAAAAATCTATTCTTGCTGATGGTTTTTCCACAAAAGGAAGGGTTTTAAAATTAAGATGATATCAGCCTCTGTATTCATAGCTGAGTATTTAATTCAGTGAACGCGGGACATGTGCAAAAAGCAGAACAAATTGTAGTTTGGCTGCCAAGAAACAGAAAACCTGGACCCTGCGTGGATTTATTCAGCTTGGGAGACAAGATGCATCTGATAGAGAAGGTGAAACCACGCGTTTGGAAGTGGTGACCCAGGGACATGATACAGAGAATGCTCCTGGCCAATATGGCAGTCACTTCTGGAGGTGACTCTGATGGTATTAGAATTGATCACCTCCCAGATTAATTTTTATTTGTGTCTCCTTTCCAGTACTGCCTCCATTGCCATAATTTGAAAACGCAGCTTTGGTTATAAGCCGCGACCGCTAAGCATTAGGTATTTTCTTATGATGACAGTGTGATACCCAGATTCAGTCTATGTTTGCAGCAACGGTGGAAGGGAGAGAAAGGTTTGCATGCTTTTCACTTTCCCGATGAGGAAATTGAGACTATATTGGCTTAAATGAGTTACCTGTGGGGCGCCTGGGTGGCTCAGTTGGTTAATCATCTGACTTCAGCTCAGGTTATGATCTCACGGTTTGTGGGTTAAAGCCCCGCATCGGGCTCTGCGCTGACAGCTCAGAGCCTGGAGCCTGTTTCAGACTCTGTGTGTGTGTCTCTCTCTCTCTCTCTCTCTCTCTCTCTGCCCCTCCCTAGCTCGTGCTCTGTCTCTGTCTCAAAAATAAAAAAATGTTAAAAAGTTAAAAAAAACGAGTTACCTGTGTCCACAGAGCAAGTAGGCGGCAGAAGGTGGATGAACACGCAGCTCAGATAACACGGTGAATTCATTTTATAGATGCCAGTCCATCCTCCTGGCTGGGAAAAGTCGTTCAAGTCTCAAATGATTAAGAATTTAAGATTTTAAAGCATTGAAGACAGTAAATTGAAAATACAGACAAGGATGGGGCCATGGGTCCTTCTCCACACTGAAAATGTTTATAATTGTTTCATAGATACATGTGGTGATAGTCCTTTGATACTGTATTTGGAGTTTTGTAGCCTCTTAAAATTGGAGTATGACATGAACAGGGCAAGATAATAATAAGCTATGCCAATTAATGAAATGATTCCACTTTATTCATTTGCACACCCAAAGAACATTTATTGTGTACTTGCCGTGTGCCGGACCCCGGTTTCAGGGTTTGGAACGCAGGAGTGACTAAAAAAGAAATTTTCTAACAGAGGGGTCCAAAGAGGTCATGCTTGTAAATGACTTGCTTTTCTTTATCGTGAGAAGTTCTTCCGTAGAGTCAAGCGTGAGCGGCATGGGAAGCCCAGAAGAGGCAACAGTGAGCTGCCCTTGGGGCTCCATCCTGGTGGGTCTGTTCGGCAGAGTAGGAGTTTTGCTGACTGCGAGCCTCACTCTAGCTGCAGGGAAGTGTGAGGACGGGCCTGCGGGGAGCAGTGTGCCTGGGTGCACCCTCGAACTGTGTCTGGGTTAGGCGGGACATTTACAGCAGGCAGTGGAAAGCCTTTGGGCATTTTAGAATAGGTATTGTTTAAAAAAAAATTTTTTTTAAGATTATTTATTTATTTTGAGAGAGAGAGAGTGTACGCGCAAGCAGGGGAGGGGCAGAGAGAGGGAAAGAGAGGATCCCAAGCAGGTTCCGAGCGGTCAGGACAGAGTCCAATGTGGGGCTCCATCCCATGAACTGTGAGATCATGACCTGAGCCAAAATCAAGAGACACTCAACTAACTGACCCCCCCGGTGCCCTGAAATAGATCTTCTTTTATGGTTCTGATTTTGTTTTCCTGCCCCCAAAACTCTTAAAAAGAGCCAGTCAAGAGGGCCCTACTTCACCAAGGGAGGATTTCGGGGAGTAATGGAAGTCGAATTTGGGTTCATTTCTCTCCCTGACAGAGACTAATGAACGCAGTTAGGCAGCCAGGCAGTGGGCAGGACAAGCCCTCCTCACCAGGGTCCCCAGAACGTGGATTTCGTCAGCAAGGTCCATTTTAAAACAATTTAAAACTGAAGGTGCCAGCAGGTTTTTATTTGGCCAAGACGCGAGATTAAATGCAAGCCAAGTACATGGGGCTCCCGGGGACTCAGTCAGTTGAGCGGCCGACTTTGGCTCAGGTCATGATCTCGCGGTTTGTGAGTTTGAGCCCAGCATCAGGCTCACTGCTGTCAGCACGGAGCCCACATTGGACTCTCTGGCCCCCTCTCTCCACCCTTCCCCCTCTTGCACTCTCCCAAAATAAATAAACATTAAAATAAAATCAAAGTGAACCAGCCAACGAAGTCAGATCTCTCATCCTGCTCACCCTCCCTTCCCAGAGGACAGCAGAAGCAGAGCCAGAGAGATGTGAGTGAACATAGCTCTGTGAGGAGCCCAGCGCATTTTTTAAAAAATTTAATGTTTATTCATTTTTGAGAGACAGAGTGCGAGCAGGGGAGGGGCAGAGAGAGAGGGAGACACAGAATCCCAAGCAGGCTCCAGGCTCTGAGCTAGCTGTCGGCACAGAGCCCGACCCGGGGCTCGAACCCACGATGGCATGATCATGACCTGAGCTGAAGTCAGACACCCAACCCACTGAAGCACCCAGGCACCCCCAGCGCATCGCATTCTTTTTTTTTTTTTTTTTTTTTTATATTTTATTTATTTCTAGGAGAGAGAGACAGCGTGAGCAGGGGAGGGTCAGAGAGAGAGGGAGTCACAGACCGAAACAGGCTCCAGGCTCCGAGCTGGCAGTCAGCACAGAGCCCGACGCGGGGCTCGAACCCACGAACCGCGAGATCATGACCTAAGCGAAAGTCGGACGCTTAACCGACTAAGCCACCCAGGCGCCCCAGCGCATCGCATTCTTACTGTACATTGTTGACTTTGGTTTATCTTTTTTTTACAATTTAGAAATATTTTAAAAATAAGATTTTGTTCTATTTATTTAACATACACAACGCAAGGAAATCTTGAGCAGGGCCCCCCTCGCTTCAGCCTCTCCCGTGGACGTGCGGGTACACCTTGGCCTTGGCCTCCGCAGACGGAGAGCTCACTCGTCTTCTCCTTCTCAGGTACTGGCACAGCACGGCCACCTATGCCATAGCCACCGAGGTGACCGGGGGGATCCAGTACCTGCCCCCGGCCCATCACCCTATATACCAGTGGCCCCGTGACCTGCTCAAGCCCGACCTGGTCCTGCTGCTCACAGTGAGTCCCGAGGAGAGGCTGCGGAGGATGGAGGGCCGGGGCGTGGAGAGGACCAGAGAGGAAGCTGAACTAGAGGCCAACAGCGTATTTCGTCAAAAGTAGGTGTCGCGGCGTACACGGCAGGGGCCCTGGCCATCGCGGGGAGCCAGGGCCAGAGCCCACTTTAGGGACGTACAGAAAACAGCATTGTTCCCCTTGTTCAAATCCAAGAGACAGAAGCCCCCGGGGTAGCTGAGCTCCTTCTGATGGTGGCAGTTCCGCGTGGCTGCAGCGTTGATGACTCATGGGCATGGGGCACCGGGGCTTCCTTCCAGTCCTGGCTGCGCCAGGAACAACGTGAACCCGGGTAAGAGGATCACGTTCCCGGGTTCCGGTGCCCCAGTCCTAACAGAAAGGGCACAGAGTGCTGTCTGCTGATCTCACAGTGACTTTTCCTTAGAAAGTGCTTCCTGCATGTCTGGCATCTGGGTTCTGATGCTTCTAAGGACAACATTAGCCGTGTTTTAGGGTTTACCAAATTGAGGCTCCAAGGATTAAGCGACTTGTCTAGATCTGCATGGCTACCGTGTAGTAAACCTGGGATTAAAATCAAGATCTTTTTGATTTTTTAAAAACCTTTTTAAAAATTTTTTACCGTTTTTGATTTATTTTTGAGACAGAGACAGTGCGTGAGCAGGGGAGGGGCAGAGAGAGGGAGACACAGAATCGGAAGCAGGCTCCAGGCTCTGAGCTGTCAGCACAGAGCCTGATGTGGGGCTCCAGCCCACAAACTGTGAGATCATGACCTGAGCTGAAATCGGACGCTTAACCAACTGAGCCACTCAGGCGCCCCAAGATCTTTTTGATTTTAAAGGCAGTGCTTTCGTTTTCATTATAAAGCTATGAAACGGTAGTGGGAGAATCTGGACCAGAGTCTCACTGCTTTAGAGCCAAGCACGTTCCGTAGGCCTGGTTTGAAAAGCCAAAGCAGAATAGTTTATATAAACAAACAACCAGAGCACTGCTATCAGAACACAGCCCTGTTATAAAGAATTAAATAATAGCTCTGCTGTGTGCAAAGAAACCGTGTCAAGAAATTTACATGTATTAATTCAATTACGCCTCGTGACACATCACCAGGAAGGCATTGGTTCAGCCCTCATTTTATAGGTGAGGAAACTGAGGGGGAGGAAGTCTGAGGAGTTCACTGAGCTAGTGAGTGGCAAACAGCACCTGTTATGACCACATGCCTCCTTCACGCTGTGGGCCTCCGTCATTCATACATGTCAAGGCTGGCTAACACCCAAAGGCGATGTGGAAACCTGGTGAAATTTTCTAAGACTCCTCTGTGGAAACAATGTTCGTGCTGAGGGCCTCTGGCTTGTCTGAAATCCTTCAAGGCATAGATTGTGGACAGATTTCCCGTGTGTCCAATTAGTTAATCTCTTGGAGTCTGTTACATTCTCTGCAAAAACGGGGTGACACGGTTCCCTCCCTGAGGTCGCCCTGAGTATGAAAGCAGAAGAATCACGCAGAACGCTCATGACCGGTAGAAAATAGGTTATCAATAAATAACCTGGCTGGCTATTAAACATCACCATGAATTTATTATTTGTTAATTAAAATATATCAAATGTCTCCTGTGGATAAAGCTAGCGGCCGAGGGGAACGCCAAGATGGAGCAGGTGGGGCCCTTGCTGCAAGCCGTGTGCATCATGGGCGGTGGGGATAACATTTGTGTGTAGAGCCTTGTTGAAAAATAAGCCAACTCTTTTCATTCCGCCTGTCCCCAGGGTAGAAGTGTGCTATCAGCGGATGGAGGACCCTGCCTGCCATGTGGTTGACGCTAGCCCCTCGAGAGAAAAAGTCCTCCAGATGGTTTTAAGCATCATTCAAAATAATTGTAATCAATTGTAATGATTCCACAATGTAATTAGACATTTTGCTGGATTTGATGCCGCTGGATCCATCTAGGCCCTCCATGGGGTACACGGTTTTCCCAGATTTCTGTTGTATAACCATGGTGTGTATACTTCCTTCTGACCAAAGGACCCATCAAGGTTGAGACCCTCATGTTCCAGCCAGAGAGCAGGGATGGCTTTCTTCAAGTGTAACAAATGTTTTCCTGCAATGCACTTTCAACTACGTTTCCACCAGATTCCTCCAAGCTTTGCCTCATCCAGGAAGCGTGAGGTATGCAGAAGAAACTGGGAAGGTCTTCCAAATCAGTGGAAGCCCCTCCGCCCTTCCCGTGGCTCTACCTGGGTCACTAATGAGATCCTGAGGCTGGGCAGTTACCTCCTTCCCAATATGGCCACTCTCCATCATGGGGGGCTCAGCCCTGATCTTAGAGCTAAATGCTCCTGAAGAACAGGTCCGTGTGTCCTGGCTGTCTGAGGACACCTCCCACGGAGCCGCCTTGTGGGTGGGGGACGCTTACAAAGAAAACACGGTCCCCTCGTGGTCAGCACCTCAGAGTTGGATACAGAGACTGCCAACGCAAAACATTCTCAGTACCAACATACCAACCCACTTTGGATTATGTTCTGTTTATTTCTATTCCTTCCCTTTCCTCTGAAAACACGGCGTTGGATATAACAAGTGTTTTGGACTGAACTAGATGCATTAAAACTTAGCCAATGCAGCAATATATTGATATTGATATTTACATCATGTTTCTCCTCGGTGGAGGGGCTCTGCTTTACTAATTAAAATCAAAGCCAAGAAGCTAAAGGCAATGCTCGCTGTGTATTTTCATTACACAGATTTAATTTATCTCACTGAATAAGCACAGTGGATCCTGGAAGGGGATTTCTTAGTCAATTATCTTGCACTGGAATATCTTATGATTACACACAAAATCAGCTTTGAGATCTGTTTGCCTAGGAAAAAAAAATAGCTAAGGAAAGAGGAAATTAAATAGCTATGTGGCCTTGGTTGAGTCATTGAACATCAAAAGTCCATGTGACTTGATCTGAAAAGTGATAATAATTCTTCATTTGTGGTAAGGAGTTGGCTGAACCAGGTGATTCTAACATTCCTTCCGGTTCTAAGATTGACGAAGCTTGCAAATTATTTGGGGGGGGGGGTGAGGAAATGTCTTCCTGAGAAGATATTTAAGAAGACATTTAAAGCTTTATCAGGCTTATCATGTGGGGATTTAAATTATAATAAAGTTTAGGATTAACAAGTGTATCATACTGTTTTCCAAAAGAATTCTGGGTAATTTTTACATAATATATTTGCATATATAGATATGTGATTAGTTTCTGTTGAAAATATTTTTTTAAGCTAATAAATAGCATTAGATTTCTGTAAGGTGTGATATCTATGTCCTTGGCGTTATGTAATTTAAACAGTTTGACAAGGTTATGTCAGCAGTCTAGAAAAACAAGCATTTAATGCCTGCCTTCTGTACCTCGCAAATGAATAAAGTTGTTGGGATTTTCTCACTGATGGTGGTGTCACACATCTGTGTTGGTTCCTGAGGCACCCCTCCAGGGAAGCTTCTGCATAGACAGGAGTTTTTGGTCAGCAGCGTGGGGAGCTGTGAGCTGTGAGCCCGTGGACCAAGTGGAAACCCTGGGCAAAATGATTTCAGAGGAAGGGAGGGCATGTTCGCTTTCTTTTAAACACTGTTTCCGGAAAGTGGAATCTTTTCTCCACCGCAGATATTAAAAAGAAGAAATCATTCTTTGTACACTTGGGTTCTTCTATGCACAGGTAGGTATATGATTTCTGAGCATGAGACGGGACAGCGCCTCCTACCCAGAAGCCGATGACAAGGAATCGTTTGCTTGGCCTCCTTTCATGGCAAGTTCAGTTTCTCTTTTGCTCTCATGATCGACCTTTGGTTGTCCTAAGCATTTACTCTCCCTTTCTTCCGCAGTAGTTGGATTTTTGACTTGACACCTGGTGGTCAAGAATTATGAGTACATTTCCAAGGCTTCCTTGCGGCTACAGTGGCCAACTGGGCACATGTGAGTTCTTCCAGCAGCCGGTGAGCAGAGGGGCGTGTGGAGCCTCCCTTCTGCTGCTAACCCTTCACACCGCCTGCTGTTCGGTGCTGCCTTCCCAGGACCAAGAGACAAGGGTGACATTGTAGAGATGCAGAAGTTACGGGAGGCTTGAACGGAGGCTGCCTTTACTCGTGAAAACAGATGTGGGCGAGGCATGAATGTGTGTGGTGCTCTACAGGGCATGTCTGCCTGGGGAAGGGCTGTCAGACAGACCCCGGGCACCTACAGAACCTCAGAATCCTCGTCCACAGCCTGACTTGCTCGGTGGCACATGCCTGAGCTGGGTTTTTTGTTATTGTTTTGTTTTGTTTTGTTTTCCTAGAGTGGGAACTCTTTTTTTTTTTTTTTTTTGCCCCTTCTCTCTGTGATCTCTCTGTTCGAGGAGCAATTGTGTAGCACTTTTTTTAAGATTTTATTTTTCTTAAGCAATCTCTGCCCCCAAAGTGGGACTCGAACCCATGACCCTGACCTCAAGAACTACATGCTCTACCAACAGAGCCAGCCAGTAGCCCGAATTGTGTGGCATCTTAAAAGTGCCTGGGGATGTGTGCCAGGGAAATAGTTAGTGATGCACATACAAATATTTTATCATCTCTGCGTAATATACTTCAACTAATTGGGGTGTATGCACGTATTTGCATACTGTATGCTTATGTATCATATGTATTTGTTAAATACATTAGGGTAGAGCCTTTATCATTTATTAAGATATTTACTTCTTTTTGTGTTTATTTGAGAGAGAGAGGATGCGCACATGCGTGAGTGAGTGGGGAGGGGCAGAGAGAGGGAGAGAGAGAATCCCAAAGCAGCCTCCATGCTGACTCGAACACACGGAGCCCAAGAACCGTGAGATTTTGACCTGAGCCTAAATCAAGAGTGGGATGCTTAACTGACTGAGCCACCCAGGTGGTCCTGAGAGTGAATCCTTTTAATGGCCTCCTTAGCAGACTGTGGACGAAGGTGTAAAGCATCAAATATACTTTTCTCTCAGTGGGAGCCAGTGATTTAAATTTCAGCCAAAAGCGAAGACACAGCTAAAATTATTTCACAGCATTCTACTAGGTTGGCAGTTCCAGAATGGAGGCTCCGTGTGCATTAGAGCACAGTGTGATTGCAGGGGTGCGGGGAGACATGGGTGTTTTGGCCTTAGGCTCTCTTCATATGCAGGCTGTTGTTTTTCTTTGAACCTAGGAGCCAGACGGTTAGCTATGTTTCACATTGGCAAATATACCCACTGGCAAGTGCATTTGAACCTTCAGGCTTCTGTAAATGTAGCTTTGTTCATATACTTGGGTATTTTTTTTCATATGAGCAGGAAGAGGAGAAATGGATGCTGGCCTTTTTTTCCCAGAAGGTATTTCTTCCACACTTTAAAAGCTTCATGGAATTCATTCAGCCTATCGCTGCAATCTGCAACTAGGAGAAGCTGCCCCCCCCCTTTTTTAAATGTTTATTTATTTTTGAGAGAGAGAGCACACAAGCAGGGGAAGGACAGAGAGAGACAGAGACACAGAATCCGAAGCAGGCTCAGGCTCTGAACTGTCAGCCCAGAGCCTGACACGGGGCTTGAACTCATGAACTATGAGATCATGACCCGAGCCAGTTAATCCACTGAGCCACCCAGACGCCCCTGTTTTCCCTTTATATTGTCTATCAATAGTTTGGTCTTTCACGAGCACTGTAACTGGGTAGGAGAGAAAAAATATTTAGTCCTATCAGATTTAAGCTTATTGTGATATTTTAACAAGCCTTTTAGGTGACTCACACGTGTGGAGAGAAAACACTCAGTGGCTCACATTCCCCGCCTTTCACGCCACATGGTGGCCTCTCTCCAAGATGGCACTGGGTGGCTGAAGCCTAGACTGTCATTTAGGCCGCCTTGAGGATGAGGGGAAATGGGTCTGTGGTCACCATGTCCTCTCTCTACCTGGGTGTGGACTGTCCTGCTGGCACGGGCAACTGAACCCTGTTTCTGGTAGCCCTTTATGATGAACTTGGCCTCAGTGTGGGTCTCACCGGTGTTTGGATCTCCGGAGTCTGTCCTCCATGCAGCCCCAGCCGTAGTTGTCTTCATGGCCACTTTCAGTTCTGCCGCCATCCAGTCCTGCTCTCTGGGGGCTCGCAGACTCTAAGGGCATGCTCAGAAGTCAAAGAACTGAGACCAGTCAAGAAAGTGGATGGCGGGGTGCCTGGGGGGCTCAGCTGGTTGAACGTCAGACTCCTGATTTCACTCAGGTCATGATCTCATAGTCATGAGATTGAGCCCCGATCCACAACCAAGGGGGAGCCTGCTTGGGATTCTCTCACCCCCTCTGTCGGCCCCTCCCCTGCTCATGTGCACACACCTTCTCTGTCTCAAAAATAAATAAATAAACTTAAAAAAGAGAAAGTAGATGTCAAGGCTTCCTTTGCTCAATCATTCTGCACAGCCCAGTTTATTGTGACCAGACTTTATTTTGGGTTGGTTCAGAGAGGTTCAAGGTCCCAAATGGAGGGATGGAGGCTCTTGATGCCCCCTGGGGATGGTTCTGGGGCAAAGCCTAGAGGCAGGATATTGGGGGGCATGGGCCTCAGCATCTCCAGCTTTATTTTTTCCTCTATGGAGCAAGGAGAATCTTCCACTTGCTACTGGGTTCCAAGTTTCACAGTCACGTAATTTGGTGTGTGTGTTTCCATCCATTTTTATGCTGGGCTCTCACTGGGTCCTTTCAGTCTGGAAAGGTATGTCCTTGAGTTTGTGGACATTTTCTTGAATTATTTCCTTGATGATTTCTACTCACTCTTTTCTTTTTTTCCCTACATAGTGTATTATTTAGATGTTGGCCATCAGCTGTGAGGATTTTAAGTTCTGAAACCTTTCTCTTTCTCCCACCCTCACTCTCTGCCTTTCTCATCTAAATATTCTTTTCTTTAAAAATAATATCCTTTCTTTTTCTTTTGGATACTAGGTCTTTACTTATCTTTTTGAGACTATCAACTATGCTTTGGTTTAAAGTTATTTCCGTAGGGGCGTCTGGGTGGCTCAGTCTGTTAAGCATCCGACTCGACTCTTCATTTCAACTCCGGTCATGATCTCATGTTTCGTGAGCTCGAGCTCCACCATTGGGCTCTGTGCCGACAGTGCAGACCCTGCTTGGGATTCTCTCTCTCTCTCTCTCTCTCTCTCTCTCAAGTAAATAAACTTTTAAAAATGAAGCTCTTTTTATAAAGTCACCATTTCTTCTAAGGGGGAGTTGTTTATTTGCACCTTCATGGTAGAATGGTTTCCAAGGTTCTGGTAACGCCTGGTGACAGCTCATGACTGGTGGGTAAGACCAAAAACTGTGTGTAGCTCCTGATCTCATGGAGAGAAGCTCTCCCCTTCTGGCTTCTTGCTGTAGACACCCACTAACCTCCGGATCCATTGCCCCCTGTTCCTCTTTAACATGCAGATCTTTTAACAACTATTCCTAGTGGAAAATCTCTCTCCCGGGACCAGGCAGGGCTGATGGTGGAGCGATTCACACCATGAATCCTGCCAGTGCAGCGTTTATTTGATTTTACTTAAATACAAACAAACTTTTCAGCACAGTGATCTTTAGACAAGTGAAGGGGGGAGACTTTGGAGTCACAGCCTGTCCACCTGTGTCAGAATCACACTCCCCCCCCCCCCCCAGTAGAGTAAGGAGCTCACGGTGCAGGTGCAGAGACAGAAATACACACACCATGGCGTACGTTCTGTGGCTGGTGTGGTTAGAGTTAGGGTTAGGGTTAGGGTTAGGGTTAGGGTTAGGGTTAGGGTTAGGGTTAGGGTTAGGGTTAGGGTTAGGGTTAGGGTTAGGGTGATGTTTAAGACAAACTAGGGAATGGTTTACGTTGCCCCAGCCATGGCAAGAGTGACTTCAGAGAGATGGGAACAGAAGAACCTCATAGAAAACAGGTGTAAATACATGTTAAGCAGGATTGAGATGAACATTTCCTGCCCGACATTGGGCTGTGATGCTCAGCACTGTATCACTCGCCCTATTCAGTCTCATCCTTTGCACACTAATTTTCCTAAGTGAACAGGCGTTAGGATTCTTGTGAGCATATACTAAGATACAAAATATCTACCTTGGACCCAGGTATTTCATTTGAAGACTGCACATTTGTCTAAATCTACTTTGCAACTTTTTATTGTCAATCTTGATGTTTTATTTTATTTTATTTTTTTAAATTTTTTTTTAATGTTTTATTTATTTCTAGGAGAGAGAGAGAGACAACTTGAGCAGCGGAGGGTCAAAGAGAGAGGGAGTCACAGACTGAAACAGGCTCCAGGCTCTGAGCTGGCAGTCAGCACAGAGCCCGACGCGGGGCTCGAACCCACGAACCGCGAGGTCATGACCTAAGCGAAAGTCGGACGCTTAACCGACTAAGCCACCCAGGCGCCCCTTGATGTTTTAAAACAAAGTAATATAT